ATGTTTGGGCTGCTTGAGCGTCTCAGTGTGCCAACAAATGACTACAGAGTGATGGCACAAAGGAAATGCTTAATGCTGATCTTCTACATATGAGTCTTGATACTGGATTTTGCTGCCTTTATCTAACTTACTTATCTTTTGTTGACACCAATTCCCTCTAGCACTCAGTATGAGAACAGTTGAAGCAATAGGTATCTCAAGAAATAGAGTATTATTTATTCATCTACTCCTTCATTTCATACATTTTAATGACCACCTATTGGGCAAGTTAATGTACAAGTTGTTGGGAATCCAAATATCAAAGACACAGTTAATGCATTCAAGTTGATTACAATTTAGTGGAGAGAGACAAAAAATAAACAGAAAATTTAAATAACTAGTGATAAATGGGAATGTAGCATAGCAGTTAGCTGTCTCAGCTCTGGAGTCTGGCACAACTGGACTGGGAGTCTAAATTCTGTCACTTGGAGTTATATAGCCCTGGACAATCATTTAACATCTGCGAAGATACAAAGATGTTATAAAGATTAGATAAAATAATTCAATAAAGTATGTATCACAGTGCTTGGCATATAATAGGTGAGCCTGCATTATTTTTGATATTGGTGTTTATTATTATATAATAGAAGCATACACATGGTGATACTAGACAAGAAAAAGGACATTGGAGGTGGAATGTCACAAAAAACTTTCTGAATAAGTGACAGTCTGTTTCTTGATGCTTGAAAGATGAATAGAGATTAGGAAAGGCAGAAGAAGTAAGGGAGGGAAGGCAAAGGGTTGATGCAATGGCTGGAAGTGCATAATGAACATTTGGAGTGCTACAAGAAATTCCATGTATTTGGAGAAAAATGTTAAAATGTGGATGTGGGAAAGTCAGACCATGATGGGGCTTGTGTGGTATCAGGGTACTGCAAAACCACCCAGATTCCATCTTTTCATGGATCTTGGCCATGTGTAAAACCCAATGAATTCATAAATGAACTCATGAATGTTCTTTTCTAAATTTCAGTGTTTCAGCAACATGTTGCTTGTAGTAAAACTAAAACCAATTCAAAATATTTGGCTAAAATAAGTTTGAAATCATTTTACTTACCATTGTGCTAATGGAAAGAGTTAAAGTTCAGCTCATAGGGGAGTGTCACTTTTCTAATCCTGCTTTTTATGACGCTGGAGGTAAGAAGTATCTCTTTCTTAGAAATGGCAGAGTCATTGCCCTCTTTGTTGATCTTTTTGCTTCTGAGAGGGTGGAGAGATGAGCAAGAGAAGTACTCAGTTCCTCTTGGAAAGAAGCCCAGCCATCTTTGATTCTCTCTGCATTTTTTATGTCTTTTAAATATGTAGGCAAGGGGTCCTGATATAGCTCCAAGACCTGGGGAAGTATAAAGTCAGTTATGATCCAGGATTGTGGAGAAGCTTTCCTTCTGGCTTGTTCTTTCTCTGCATCTAGTCTAGGCAAAATGCCTTCCTACATAGGACTAGGTTAGGTCATCCTAGGGAATATCCTGGAGTGTGGAGCCAAAGTCCAGCTAGAAATAACATGTTCTTTTATTGTTCTCTCTACTATGCTTTTATGTTCCCCCAGTGGCAGCAGTAGGGGTATCTGCTTGTGGACCAAACTCTGTTTCAGGACTCCTGGGTCTCTGTCATCTCCCCCTATATAAAATACATCAATGCACACCACCATTTTGACATGATGTCTGATCAACTACCTCACATGCTTACTGTAAGGATTGAATAAGCTACCATATGTGAAACTTTCTTTAAAGTTGACTCAGATATGGTTGGTAATAGCCATTCATTCTGACCTGAGGATTCACAGGATCTGACTTTCCTTTCTCTTTCACCATTGTGAATGCAGGGGGAATAAAATGAACCTTTAGATTTACTTTTATTCCCCATTCTTGTTGAGTTTATATGAAAAGCACAAACTCACCATTAAATAATAAAATCTATATATTGCCCAGAAACATTCTAGTGGTTGCAAAATAAGATTCTTTATTCAAGATGAAGTTTCCATTCCAAGTTCTTTTTTCTAATTTTTTTTTGAGGCAGTTTTTCTTCACAGAGAAATTGATCATATCTTTACTAAAAACAAACGAATAGCAACAGCAAAAAAGTAGCTCAAGGTCAATAAATGTAATGTTTTATTGGATAGATTTCTTTTTATTGAAGGGTTTGCAATGGAGGTGATTACGTGGGAAGCGAGGGATGGGAGAGACTGAACTATTGCTTGTTCCACATTGTTGGGAAATTTGGGAACTTTACCTTTTTTCAGGTTTGATTCTCTCTTTGTCAAGAAGTGAAGTTACGCTTGAAGTGAATGTTAACAATCTCGGTTGAGACTAAAGAAAGTGCTAGGCTGCTTCAAAACAGGATCTCGCCACTTTTGGCATAAGGTCAAATTGGCAGCACCAGCGATTCTGTTGTAGTCTGTTTTCTCCAGAGTTCACTGAAAAGATGAGTAATTCCAGGAGTCTATGTGCTTGCTCCTTTTCTTTGTTGTTGAAAATTTCCTTCAGTGAATCACTCGGTAGCTACTTTCTCACATCAATGTATGCTCAAAATGTTTTCTCTTTTAATTAAACAAGATAAAAAACTTAGGCTTGGGTGGATATGGGTCTCCCAAAGTTCTCTTTAAGAATAAAAGGGCAAATAAAATAACAATGAACAAAATAGTTGACCTGAGGCCCCTTGTAGACAACAGCTATCACCTCAATTGCAGACCTGCATGTCCATCTCTGATTACTCCCTGAAACATCTAACCCATGGCCAAGTGTCTTCTGTGGATCTCCACCAGGCTTATCCTGCCTATATCTCAAGGTCAGAGGAAAGAAATTGAACCCCTTGTCAATGACCAAACTTCCTCTTTCTGTAGCCACTGACCTGTTGGATGCAGAACGTTTACTGCACCTTCCATGTAAGAGACCTGTTTTTTTCCTCTTTTTTTGATTTATTCTATTAATATCTGTTGTCCATCTACAATGTGCTAGATACGATCTAGGTGCTGGCATTATTATAGAGAAAAGTCTGACAAAGATCTTGCTTTCATTCTAATGAGGTGACAGCAATAAAATGAACAAATGAATGATATTGTGTTAGATAATGAGAGATGCCATGAACAAAATGACCAAAATAAAATTAGTTCCTTTGGTTTTATAGTTAATGACATTTGATAACTTTATGCTACCAGCATTGTTTTCAGTTTTGTGAAATTCACCTCTTGCTAGGTCTTCACAGATATTTTAATAAGTTAAGAAAGACAGCAGCTAGCTGAAGTCATTGAACTGGAATTCCCTGTTCATCACTTTTCTGTCAGTGAGGCTGTCTTTTTTCCAATGTTGTGGGATATCTTGTTCTGTCTCTTATCTTTGTTTCTCGTTGAGTATCTCTTTCATTTCTCTTTTCTCACTGGCTGCAGACAGGACTTTTCTTCTGCTCATTCCATATGTAGCCGGATGCCAATAGACTCAGATTTTATTTGTTATAACATCAGTTAACTTGAGAGAGAGGAATCTTGGCAGTGGTTACTTGATTCACGTTCTTTGTCTGGACTTTATTTTATTTCATCCTGAAAAACTGACCATTGTGCCTTTTCTAATTCAGGCCTGCTGGCAATGACTTTCTCAACTTTCATGTACTAATAAACATATAAGCAGAAAACTATATAAAAGGAATCAATTATATAGGCTTCACATAACGAGTATTTTTTGTAAGCCCTTGAGAAGATTTACAATAACTGCTTCAACGTTCTTTTCTAGGGTCTGTTTTTATGGATTGCTTGCTTTTTTGATTTTGAGTTCCTTTTCTCTGTTGCTTCACATGAGCAGTGGTTATTATAGAATGGCCATTGCTAACGGTGTGTTACAGGTAGTCTGAATTATGTCATCTTCCTTTAAAAGTTTTTGAATTTTGTTCTGCAAAGAAGTTAACATCCTGGGAGCTCTTTTTCATCCTGGCAGCTTGGCTTTACTCTTTACGAGAGCAAGTATATTTCACTTTTGTCGTTAGTACTAGTGCATCCCACACTGTAGGACGTGATCCTTACTTCTGGGTTCTGACCTTCTGAGATCTCAGCTGGATGCACAAGGTGCTCAAAGGGGTCTCTTTACACTTGCAGAGCTGGGATTCCAATATTTCCCAGTACCGTGAGACTTCCAACACCTTTGTTCAGTTTCCACCTCTGAAAGAGTTTTACTCTGCTAGTTTTTGTAGACTTTTGACTTACACATTTGCAACACAGACATTGGCAAATGACATGCCATTAACCCCTGTGAAGTTTTCCATGCTCCTCACCCCTGCTAACTTTCCTTTCTCCAATATTTTGCTCTCAACTTCCAGCAGGTTCAGTAGTTTCTTCTTTAGCTCAACAAGCCTGTGATTCTTCTTGGGCTCTACCTCCCTTCTATGACAGAGAAAGTACTTCCAGTTAGAAAAGTAGGGTGAGCGTTTGCTTTTTTTCCACTCTCAAGGGTCATCATTCTGTTCTGTTTGATGTACAATGCTTGAAGAGTTGTCTCATATATTGTGTTCATTTTTACAATTGATGGGAGTACACATCCAATATAAATTATTCCATCATAGCTAGAATTGAAACTCAATGTTTTCTTATAGATTCCCCTGGACTTACTTTTGGCTTCATGCTTCCAATATGAACGTTTTAGCAAATAGACATGTCCTCTTGCTCTTTTAAAAAAACATTTTCTACATAGCTGGTGCTTAATAAACCACTTTTGGTTATTTATTACTAATTATAAGTTTAAAATGTGAAACGCATATTTGAAAAGAAGTCCAGCATATTAGATAAAAGCCAGTCTACTTTTGCCATCCTTTGTCCGAGATAGTCTGTCTCAGACCCCTGTGCTTTAGCTCCTCAATACAGGATTTTTCAATCATATTAAGAATCTTGGCTACTATGAAACATTTCTTTGTTTTTCTCCCTATCACTTTAATATCTTGACAATTTCTAACATGATATTCTTTCTTCTTTACCTCTTCAGTCCACACATTCTGTCCTGAGGGACAGACCAACTATTCACTTGACACATGAAGCGGTGACTGGGATGTACCTATTTTCAAGGTAAGTGGGTTTGAGAATGGATTGAGGAAAAGAAGAAGGATATTAACATTTATCATTTGGATTCTTTAAATTTAGTCCTATAATGATCTTAAGAGTTATGTAGTGTTTTTCCTCTTTTGCAAAGACAATCATAGTAAATAATTTCTCCAGGAGAGACAGGCCCTAAACTGTTAGTATCTTCCTTCCCAACCCCCTCCACTGGATTTAGTAAGCTTCATTTGAACCTTAGTAGTGTTACTGTTAAAATGTGCATAACACTGCCAGCCTCACAGGTGTTTTAGACCTTTAAACATTGTTATAAATGCAAAGCTCCAGGCATATATTTGACTAGTTTCCTCCTTTCTAGGAAATTTTCTTGAGGACCCAGTTTATGAATGGTAGAAGTGGGTTTTGAGTCAGTACCTCATCAGTGCCTCTAACCTTGTAGTCTGTACTCTTTTTAGAGCACTGTGCTATTTTTCCAAACGATTGGTAAGGGTAGGCATAGGATGAATTTCTTTGCCGTTCATCTCTGAGTCATACAAAATATTCTCTGGTAGTTATTCCAATTGAATTAAAGTTTTCTCAGGCTCATTGGATGAAATTTCTACCACTTTCAAATATCATTATTAATAGACATTTTAAAGGCACTGTGCACTTTTTTACTTATTGAGTCTGGTGCCATTACAGAGAAAGAATCAGCTTCTAAGTTTAACAGACTCTGAACCTGTGATGTCTTTTCAATCTTATATCTTTGCCCTTAACAAGAAGCAACCAGATTCAATGAAAGACTCATTATAGGGTCACCATGATCATATATATATCTCTCTTTGGAACCTGTGACAACTGTTGTTTGTGTTCACTCCCTCTGACTGCTTTAAGGAAAGCATACAAGAAATGTAGTAAGGGTCTCTTTGATATTACTGTGGAGAGTAATCACATTTACACTTTAAAGAATGTCTAACATTGCAACTGATTATTTTCTAGAACTTCAGAACCTCTTTCATCATTCTGGTATTAGAGACGTATTTGTTGAATGAATGAATGAATAAATCTCTTCTCATTGTTCAAAAGTGTGACCCATTCTAGTTGAAGTGAGGCCATTTGTTTTATTAGCTTTAAATTCAAACAGATCTGAATTTTAAAACCTGGCTCTGCTACTTTCATGATCATAATTATGTGGTCATAACTTCTAGGAATTACATGAAATACAGGGAGAAAAAATTAGCAACCAAATCTAGTTAATGTGAAATTACAAATAATAGTATTCTGGTGTAAAAAAGTCACATTTTTATCCAAGAAAAGAATATTAACAAATAAAGGAACCTATTAACTATTGAATTTAAAACCTCCTGTTTAAGGAAATGGTCTGATATATTCGCATGTGAACATATTTTAGTGAAAAGTTAGAAAATTTCCAGTTTTTCAAGTGTTATTTTAGAAAATCAATAGATATGAAGAATATTTATGAAAGAGGGAGGCAGCAAATTAGGAATAAATTAGAAAGAACACTGTACTTGTGAGTCTGGAAGAATGTATTCTACACCTGACGGTGCCATTGACTAGTTGTGTTCTTTATAAAAATAACTTTATCTTTTGTAATCTCAATAATTTTGCTAAATAATGTCCACATTCCTTTTACTTCTAAAAATTCCATGACTCAAAGAACATATTCTGTATGCAATGTTAGCTGCTTTAATATTACACAATTAACCAAACGGAGTTCTAGGTTATATTGAATTAAGTTTTCCCATTTAATGATATTCCTAAATTAGCCTTTACCACTTTCTATCCAGTCATCGTTTCACCTTCACCCATATATCATTTCTTAATTCTCTAGGAAAAGGAGACCCGTATGAAAATTCATCTTTGAGCTTACCAAAATATTCCTTAAATAACATAAATAATATGCATAGTTCTTGAGTTAGATTTCTTGGATATTTCTTTGTAAAACTGTGCCTAGAATTTAGCCCTTCATGATTTGTCATAAGTCTAGGTCATTCCACTGCTCTTATCTGTACAGCATCAATGCCTTGTGCTATCCACTTCTTGGGATTCATTTATTAAGAGGCTGAGATGTGAACATCTGTCCATGTTCCAACTGAACAAATCATTCCAAGTCACCTTTCTAACCCAAAGTTCAATGGATGAGGCAGACCATGATTTATATTTGAGGGTTTTTGTTTTGTTTTTGCAACAAAAGCCATTCTCTTACTGTACTCTCAACAACTGCCTGCATTGCATTAATCAGACCTTAATTAACAAGGAAGAAAGGTGATAATTTACATTTATTTCAGATTGACACATTGTACTTTATTTAGCAAATGAGACCTGTCAGGCACTGCCTGTGACGCTTAGATTGAAGACAGAGTGTCGAAAATATGTCTTCCACCTGCCTGTGCCTTTGTAGGAGGGAGCTTTCAGTGTGTTTACACAGGGATCATTAGACGTACCTCATGCTAAGCTTTCATGAATCTTTGAATAAGAAATGCTCAAAGGTCATCAGGTATGAAATATTTTATAATGACACTCTGCCATAAGGCAGGAAAGACTGTGATTTATCCTCAAAAGTAAACGCAAAGAGGATAAAGGAAAGGAAACACACAGCCTCCAAACTGTTGCAGGTCTATCTGAAACAGAGAGGAGGACTGAAACTATGAGGATCAAGGCTAGGGAAAGTTTATTTACCCAGTGTAATTGTGCATTTCCAAGTAAGAGTTGGAGGTCTGAGGTAAATAGGTGAGCATCTAACTGGTCATCAGCTTTTGAGAAAGAACAATAAATTGTTATCAAATGTCAGGAGGGGAGGAGAATTTATGAATCATTAACACCAAGCTGCTAATTCTACGAGATGAAAACAGAAAATTAGAGATGATAATTGATTTTGCCCATTCTTGCCTTTTATTGAATATATAGGTAAAGGCTGAATTTGAAATTTAAGTTTAAGAGGTGAAACTGACACTTAAAGTCCTTGTTTTCCTCTTACCCTTTAGTCTAAACTTATTTTCATGGCTTTTATTACCATATATTTCACCCCACAGTCTAAACCAGCAATGAGGAAGTCCTGCAAGCTTCCATCTCAAGTATTTGATGGGCCTGGACCCTGACCATCCCCAGAGCATGCTGTGGGCATGCAGGCATCCACACCTTTGCTCATGTCATCTCCTCTGTTGAGATGAACAGTCCATCCATTCTATATAGTAAACTCATTGTGGGCTTTAAAACATGGTTCAAATCTCATCACACTTATGCTGATATTGTAGAAAATACATCAACTTATAGGTCAAGGAGCTTAAATTTCCATCAATTAATGATATAGAACAAGTTTCTTAACCACTGGGAAACTCATGTACCTCATTTAAAAATATGAGTGGTTTTGTCGAAATAGTAGCTGCCATTCTATCAGAGACAAAAGCTCTGCAGAGGAGAGGGAAATCTCTTGTTTAATACATGCGGTCATTAAATACATATATAAATATATATATACAAATATATAAAGCCAAATATAGATGGAAAAGACGTTATAAGGTATGATATGATCCATGATGCCAAATCTGCATTGTTTCACAACACGATACTGGATTAATGATGATTTGAATAGAAATGTTTCCTATTACTCATGAGCTGTGCAATAGGAATATTGTTTTATTTTCTCAGGTGTGACAAAGAAAACATATTATTTGTAGATTAAAGTTTTCAATTCTGCTTTATAGGGAAGTCAGTAGGAATTAGAATAATCTGGTCCACTTTTCTTATGGATTTCATTATTGTGGATAAGTTGTTCTATGGTTGTGCAGAGGCAGAACTGAGGCTAAAACTAAATTCTTGTCTATCTCCATGATTTGAACTCCTACCTCTAAAGTAATAATTTCTAGATCTAAGAATCTAGCTCCAAATTCTCTTTTAAATTTTAGATTTTTTTCAGATTGCTTGCTGACATCTCTACAGAGAATATTACACTAGTATTATAGACACTAATATTTAGTTATTTTTAATAAACATAAAAATGCCAATGCCTCACACACCTGTTAGTTCTTTATCCTGATTTCCCACTCTTCTGGTCACCAAAAGTCAAAATTTGTTTCTTTCACTCCATCTATTTCCAAAATCTGTAGTGTCTCCTTCTAAAGTTGTTGATTGCTGGCCTGTCTTTTACACCCACCACCTAGATCATTGCTGATGATTACGGCATACAGGTGCTGCCTCTAGCCTTTTTCTGAAACCATTTTCTCTATACCAATTCATTCATATAAATTTCTCAAAAAATATATATTTTTTGAGCCATACTGTGGCTCCTCTCTGCCTAGAGGACTAACTTTAATTTCCTCAGCCTAGAACATCTTTAAAAATGGTTTAATAACTTCTGTTTTCAAGAATTCAGAAGATATCTCTCACAGAGGATAGCTTGAAAGTCTGAAAAACATATAAAGTACATATGTTTGAGGATCTTGGAGAGCTAACAATGAGTTGAAGAAGTCCACAGCTAAAATTTGGGAGAAGAAAGAAAGCCAGGGAGATGATCCTGGAATTGGTCCTGGTAATGTGTTCAGATTTTGGGAAGGGGTCATCAGCCCGAGAGTCTGAAAAGTACTTTTGAGAGCCTCATGAATGGGTAGGCACATAGTTGGAATTTAGGGCCTGATTTGGTCCCACTACTACCTGTGCTTTGAAATGGAATTCCAAAGAGCTTCGCCACAAGAGGTAAGTCTCAGTAGCTAAGCCCTCCCACAGTCTGAAGCCTAGCATCAGATGATTTCTGGGCTTGAAATTCAACTAAGGTGATCTCAGGTTATTACACTTCCCAGGAGCCTGGCAACTGCAAATCTAGTCCTCTCTGGAGGAAAATAGCATCATCTTAGTCCTTAAATTATTTCAACAAATAATTTTTCAAACACAATATCTGGGATAAAACAAGAAATGACAAGGCAGATAAGTAGACAAAACAACCTGAATAATAACAAGCAAAAATAATAAAGAAAAAGGGTCTGCATATATTGGATGTATTGGACACAGACTTTAAA